ACACCATGGTGGGAAGCAAAGTATCTGAAAAACATCATTTCAAGGGAGATCTCAAAAATATTTGAATAAAAAAAAAGGTACTTCAAGAAAGTCCCTCATATAATACCCCTTAGAATCAGCAAGATTTCAAGTATGCTGTACTGGTGACTTCAGAGGTAGCTGTGTATAAACTGACTGTAAATCTTATATCCAATAAAACTTCAATAACCCAGGTGTTGTAATCATATCAAAATTCTAATACTGTCTTCTTTGCCAGAGCTTGCTGAAGAATAATTCCTTTATCTCATTGGCTCAAAGGACATTGCAGACTTCACTTTGTTGGCAAGTACCTGCATTGGCCAAGGGAACTAGAAGGAACTGGGCAAGGACCAAGGGAGTAAAATTTGGCAAGGTAAAACCACTTGAATTCCATAGGAACTAGGTCACCAAATGCATCAAATAGCTTAAATAATAGCAATTAGACTTTGTAAAATACTTTCCTTTGAGACACTTCAAGTGATGTTGACAGCCATTCGTTAAATTTTCATTCCCCACTAAAACAAAACAACCTCCCCCAAACAAAACAAAACAAAGAAAAAAGCAAACAAAAAATGTAACTGAGTACATAAACACACTTGACAAAAAGCCAGCTAATTAGACAAACAAAATTCTTGGCTAGTACAGTAATTTACAATAAATTATACATTGCAATATGGTCAGGTAGTTCAAATCCAAGCTATTTTTTTTTGGTGAATGAATAGGGGAGAAATAGAAAATGTAAGAGTACTCCACAATATTTGCTAGCATAAATTCTTTGCGACCCAAGAGGAAACATCAGTAAGACAAAAAATGAAGCTCCTTATATTTTGGCTTGCCAAACAGGTTCTGTAAAAGACTGGTTTTTTTCAAAGAAGGCATGTACCATATTACGTTATCATTCCTAATTTGTTATATATCTGGTATAAAAGGGACCTTATGGACTTGATATTCAAAGTTGATCAGTATGTTCACTTCTAACATAGTCTTCTGCTGAACCAAAAGAGTCCAGCAATTTCACAGAATTGAACCTGGGACAAACTTGTTGAAAACTGTTTGCTTTTTGGCCTGGAAATTAATCTGCTTGGTTTTCATTTTATACAGAACAAAAGACCTTCAATCTGTCATATGGTAATAAATCTTCCTTCTGAGAATGACACTTTTTGGGTTTGAAAAATGATCTGACATATTATCTTTTCTTTCTTTGGGTCCAATGATTTTCTCTGAAAAAATCAAGACCTTACTTTCAAAGCATGAGGAACAAACTCACTAAAGAAACATTAATTTATTATTTTTAACATCATGATTAGGACTTATTTATGAATCAAAAATCCTTGTGTAAGCTGCCGTGTATATCTTCCATGTTTTAGGTTTAATGTGTTAGGCAGCAGCCAAAAAAGATAAAAGCACAAAGAATCAAGGAGAAGAAGACTAGGATACATGTCAAGTCACAGTTTCAATATGACAGTAGCCTAGGCATTAACAGAAACTGGAATATACACAGGAATTTTAAAAGGAAGATCCTGCTATGCATACGAAATTAGGGAAGGAATCTCATTTTAAATATATACAAAAAAGGTATGTGAGACTATGTCCATATATAGACTGACAGGCTGTTTAGCAATCAGAGATGGACTTCTTGAAGTTGAGGGAAAGTTAATTTGGATGGAATATGCAGACACACAAACACACGGAATTATACAGAAAGAAATATTTCCAAATGATAAAATTGTCATCAGAATGGGGATACTGAAAGGGGAATGTGTCTCTGGGTTTTGTATGTTGCATACACCTTGCAGAAGCTGTGATTTAAAGCTTAAAGCAGGATAATTTCTGTGGGTATCTGAGGACTAGCTAGTTCACCAAGAAACAGCCCTGACTTTTTAACACTGGAAAGGAGCAGAGCAATGGGATTGTATCTGACCAAGTTCAGAGATGCTCTGCCTAATTTTGCACTACAGACTTTAATTTGCTCTTGTCTGTCCAAGAATAAAAAACCTTTTCTCACCAGCTGTTTCCTGACGAAGCCCTCTGATTCAGTGTCTGCAATTTTCAAAGAAGGCATGGCTAAAGCTCAGTTTAGATACAGAAAGATGTACAAAAAGCTTAGAAAGACAGGAAATATTTATTTTAGCTGTTGGTTGTTTTTTTTTTTTTCATGGGAGCCTGGGTGCAGCTGCACAATGATTCAAGGACAGAAATCAACCTTAAACATTCCTGAAGACAAGGATAACCTACAGAGCACCATGTTTAAGTTGTAGAAGTCTTTGAAATTCCTGATTTGTCTAGAGCAGAGTAAAGCAAAAGTGTGTCTATAAATACCATAAAAAACCCATCCACTGTAACATCCCCTGTTTCCCCAGCAGTTCAACCATGTGTCTTACAGCCTCAGTGATGCTTTCAGAATGGACGTGTTAAGGCTATGGTCAAAGGCTAAAGAGTCAGAAGGGGGTTTGTGGGAAAGGCTTCTCCTGTGAGCAGTTTTGAGAGCAGAGGAACCCCACTCAAAAACAGGTCCTGGGCTCTCCAGATTGCTCAGGCATAAACAAGAGGCTTAGGATGAGGCTTAGAGCCCCCAAAGGGGGACTTGGCAAGCTGCAGAACTGAAAGAAATACATCACATGCACTTATTCCAATAAGTATATGTGACATAACTTGGCATTACTATGCTTTTGTGGTTAATCATTTAGTTTTATCAGCTTGCATACACATCATCTTTATTAAACAGTAACCATCCTTCATGCATCATGCAGTTCAAGGCCAAGAAAATAATCAGAGACCATGCTCTGTGCTGAGGAGATAGAATGGTTTGCAAAAAAAGGAAAATACTGCTTTCTGCCATCCATCACAGTTTCCCTGGAATGAAGAGCCAGATGATAATGCTGGGGCCTCTTTAGTGCTAATAAATCAGACTGTCAACCTGTGTCTAGTTAATATGAATTCTGTACAGTCCAATCCAACTTGGACCACTCCAAGACTCCCAAGCAGAAGACGAGGAGCCAGAAGCCCCTACACCACAGTGACAGCACCTGTGGTCTAATCAAAGGGTCACACCATTTGGGCTTTTGTAAAACTAGATATTTATTTAATTCATACAATACATTAAACTGATTGGTTTTAAACCCAGGGTATCAGGAATGTATTTCCAAGGTTCTTGTCTTTGTAGTTGACCTGAAAGCAAAAGAAACCACCCACTTTTCAGATTAACTTCTTACTAATCAAAATCAGTCTGTAAACAAAGTTTTTACTCTTAATTCTGATCGTCTTTTGGTTGTCATCATGCATATTCAGATCTTCACTCAGTCAACTGTCCCTAATGTCATCCTGAGTAGTGGATCAAATTCTGCCCCTACCACAAAAGGAATCATGTAGGCAGAGAAATTATGTAATAAAATGCACCTACACGACTGGTGTCAAAAAAGTAGCTGAAATAAGGATCTCCTTCCTTCTCTGGCTTTAGAGGCTGTAACTTAGATTTCTTTCCCCTTTGAAGAGTCTGAGCAGCAAGTCTTTTCCTTGTCATTGGCATCTGCAACAAAATAGCAGTTGCATTACATTAGAAACAAATTAGGGCACTATTGTGCCCTTGCTGACAACTTCGTAGATATGGATTAAAATTGGCTAAATAAAATGCTACTGATGTCAAAAACCCTAATTGTCATTATCTGGATATTTAAAGATATATAGGCATGACTTAATTGATGGATTTCAGGATATAGGAAGAAAGAAATAAAGACTTTATAGAAATCACCATCATTCCACAACATGCAGGATATGCAACACAGCTGGGGGCCACAATCACTGTCTATAGGAGACTTAAGTGTTAATAAAACCTCAGTCTCAAGATTACTATCAAATGGCAAAATGATGGTCTATGGCTCTGGCTCAAGTTGTATGCTTGAATTATATGCCTGAAATTCATATCTAGGTTTATGTTTACTGAAGAGCTTTCAAGGAAAATGGGTATTTCTTTTTGTAGGAGTGGTTGCATGTGCTTGCTCTGTGTGTCACTGAAGGCTGACGACTACTGCATTGTGAAAGGAAATTTCTCAGACTGACCCTCATCAGGCATATATTGGAATGATGTTATTTATTGGAATGATGTTATTTGCTTTGATGAAAGAAGCAACAAAGATTAACATCCTTGTGATATTTATGTATTTTTTTCTAATTTCGATGTACACCTTTTCGTTGGTTTTTCTATTTTATTGCTAAGTCATGGACACTAAGTTACGTAATGACTGAGTCCACATCAGTTGTCACTTGATTCTAGCTCTGTCTCTCATTCCTAGAGCAAAAGCTGGATCATGTTAGAAGCATGGACAGATAGCTTTACCTGTGATGTCTGACAGGTGTGTGTCTTAGTGCCACAGATATCTCTTACTCAGGCATCATGGCAAATTTTGAATGTCCTTTCACAGAGCATGTCTAAAGTCCTTTTCAGGAAAGATTTCATGGCGCTGTGCATAGCAAATACCATGACTGATTCTGCTCAAGAACAGAATGTGTGTCACCTTCTCCACCTAGTGATGCATTTTCACCAGTACTCATAAAGTGACCTAAACCTGCAGAGAGTGGCATATGTGAAGCGTTACAGAGAGGTTTACCCATTTCCAGAAGGCCTGTTCCTCTACCACCCAGCAAAGCAAAGCTGAAGAAAGGCTATCACAACCACCTATTAATCTAGAGATTATGTTTATACAAGAAGTATCTTCTTGTCCCCTACAACGTACTAACATCTCCTGGTGCATTCATGTTCCAGTTGGGTTGGGCAAGGTAAACCAGCTCCACCTCCGAACTGATAAGTGCTGTTGTGATCCTTCCTACCTGCTCAAAGTTCATTCTGAGCATGCATCCCCTGTTTGCCTACATCTGATAAACACAGTATTCTTTGTATTTTATTATTCTGGGCACAGTATTACAAGGAGGTGAACACCTCTTCCTTTACTTATCACAGATACATTAAACACATGAAAAAATCCACATGGATTAAATATTGATTTTATTTTTTAGAGAGCAAGTACAATGATGTTGCATTAAAATAATGCTATGTCATAGTTGTTACAGCTCTGATAGAAAAATAAACATCTCAATATACTACAGTGTCAACTCAGTAATAAATACCAAAATAGAAGTTAGTAGTCAACTGAAATTAATAAAACAACTATAAAAGTATACTATTTTAAATAATAAAATATTCAGTATATTTCCAGACAAACAAAAGTAGTGATTTAAAAGTACCATTTAAAATGTAAAACGAACAGTAAGAAGTTATAAAATTTAAAACCTCTTCCCTTACTAATATTCTCTATGCATAAAATCTAGAGGAACATTATTTATCTTTATATACTTTTTTTTACAAAAGGTAGCATATGTTAAATAGAAAGTTAAAAACTGTAGTATTATTATTAGCTGTGACACAATTGCTAAATAAGACACTTTAAAGTAGCATTATTTTTGAAGCAGCAGTAGGCAAGAGCGAAGATGTTAGGAAGGTGAATTCATCCAACACTAATGCCTCTCCAAAAGACTCTTTCAACATCTTCCTTCAAAATACAACTGAAACAGCCCAAACACAATATAGGTATCAGAATGAAATGTTAGATTTAGGCAGAAGTAATTAATTTAAGAAATGCCAGACAATTCTTTTTTAATAAGTAGGTACCTTTTTCTTTAAAAATGTGTACAGAAAAGGAAAGAAAAAGAACATGCAATCCAGAGTTGCACTTCTAAAGCCTAAGGATCTAGTAATTTTGAGGGGGGGAAGCTTTATGTTTTTTTACTGCAGACAGGCCAACCATTCTGAGCTGGCTTGCTCCCAGTGAAACCCCACTGACTTGTCTCACTATAGACATGCATTCCTACTGGTTAATTTTAACCTTTTTTCCCCGCCCTCCATGCATTTCAATTCTCAGAGATGGCTCTCTGAGAATTGAGATGGCTCTCAATGAGAGCCCAGAGATGTCTGTGCATCAGAGCAGCCTCAAGATATAATTAAAAAGTAGTGTTCTTCTTAACTACAGCTTCATTTCTGCTTTCCCCTCCCTTGCAAATGGACAGCTGGAACACTGGCACCATTCATCACTCACAGTCAGAGCAGAGTTAGGTGTCACCCAGCACTGACTCAGCACAAATACCCCTATGAGAAGTGCCCTTTACAGCTACAGCTTACACTCCTTAAGGTTGACTGGTGGAGATCCAAGGGCTGGTGGAAAGACAGTGGGCAGGTGCCCAAAGACTCTCCAGAAGCTTTAATGGAGATCTGCAGCATTCAAGTTTACAGGCGATCCCTTGCTATGTGACGTGTAAGCATTTTGGATGAATAAAGATGTGAAATGTCTGCAGTGTTATGGTTCAGACTGCATATTATGCAGTTCCAGTGTGTGGACAAGTGCCTAGGATGCAAACCTAGGACAACATCTCTGCCAAGTCAACCTACTTTGAAGAGATTTCCTGCCCTGACAAAAGGAGAAGGGAGGTCTTGGAGCATCATCTCTGTAGGGACGCTGTAGGAAACCCCAGCATTGCACCTACTGAGATTGCTGTCCCTCTTCAAGTCCCTGTACAGGCAGCCATGCCCTTGCATCTCTCTGCCCTGGGCATTTCCAGACCTTAGGTTTAGTTTTAGGACTGAAGGTTGCTTGAAGCTGTTTCATACATTCACTCCCATGGTTTGCAAAACATGTACATTTAGGTATGCACACTAAGCAGGAAACAAATATTATATATGATCACACTGGGAAAATAATATTTTTCCGTGGCAGTATGAAGAATGCTTTACATAGCAGGTTTTCATGACATCATAGAGAGGAAAAATAAATCCAGTTGAGAATAACGGATAAAATGTAAACTATGCCCATACGAACATCCTTCCTTTTAAAGGTTCACTTTTAACATTCCTTGCAAATGTAAGGGAATTTCAGCTGGGCACAATGAAAATTCCTTGCATACCACGTGCACGTTTTCTGGATGAAACAGCTATTTTCCCACACATTTCTTCAGCAATCTTATTAGTGTACTCATGATGCTTGGAAATAACCATTTCATAGCTTTCCTCATTTTACAGTACTTAAAAACATCTGAAATAAAATGCATGCTTTTTAATTGCATAAACATGGACTTTCTGAAATGTTAGGCAAATAACCAGTCAAAGGTAAAAAAAGGGAGATTAGCATTTGAAAATTATACATATGTATTTTAACATTAACATTTATGGTGCAAAAAGTCATGCACATGCTCTGGGAGCAAATCTAAAAACAATTCCCAAAACAAATGATGAGATACAACAGTATCTACTGGTACATATTTGGATATAGGCATGCAGTAGAATTATTTGACTTCCTTTTAATTTTTTTGAAGGAGCCTAGTCTAAGAAATTTTATTTGAGTAGTTTAGAATGTTCTATTCTGAGGTTAGATATTTCCCCCCTATTTTTATGAGCATCTTTGACACACAATACATTGAAAACTAATGTGAACTAATTTGTCTTTAATATCTCCCATATTAAGCACTATAGGAAGCAGAGTCCTTCTGCAATCACTGAAGAAATTCCTTGTGAATTACAGGCTGCTTTCTCATTTAAGGTCATGTGCTGAGGGAACACAACTCCCTAAATAGTGAGGCTTTTGTTGAGCTATTCATCTCCTGCAGCAGCTCTTCTGAAAAACATGGTCAAAGGCAGAGGGAAACAAGTACCAAGCAAAGCCAGAGTTTCTCATGGATAGATTCCATCCCTAGAAACAAAGCCTCCTCCCAAGAATCCTGCTCTGTATAAGCTCCCCACGGGCCTTCTAAAAGCCTTGACCTGTCACATTAGCAGCAGCTTATTCTCTTTCACCAGCCTCCTCCACAATACAGTAAAACCATGAGGGAGATGCAAAACAGCTTTTTATTCTTCTTCTTTTTTTTTTTTCTTAAAAAACTCTTTTTTTTAAAATGTACATTTTTTAATCTCAAGACAGCAAGCTGCTTACAGTGCAATTGGTCCCGTGAGCCTGCTCTATTTGACCAGAGCATTTTAAACATTCAGGCAGGTGTCTGATAAGGAAATACTGACCGTGCCCCTTCACAGGCAGCACCACAATGCCAACCAAGTGCTATAGAAGAAAAGCAGTAGCAGTGTGATGTGTCTGGAAGATGGGTGTTACAGCTCAAATTTTCTTCCATCGAGAACTCAGCTCTGTTGTCCCCTACCCACACAATTTAAGTCCCTCTAACAGTGAAAAGTAATTCCTAAAAAAAAAAAATAGTTATCACTTCAGTAAATGCTTTAAAGCATTATGGTGGGAAAATATCACTGAGCATTGAATTATTTTTGTTTTGTTAAGTGAAAGAGACAACCAGAGACTGTTTGCTACTCACAAATAGTCATGAACTGTGATAAGGGTAATAGCAGGTAAACCTTTATCAATCTTTTATCTTTATCCCACTGAAACCAATTTTTTGGAATCTGCTAATTTACACAGAAGGAAAATGGTCCTACATGTTTTAAAAGAAAACGAAAGTTTAAGGTATACTTGATAGATTACAGAATTAATCTATAACTAAAATTCTACAATTAAGCTATTACTAAAAGTCAGGGTCAGTGTAAGGAAATACTCTTTTATTTAAACTTTTACCTTTATGGTAGAAAGCTCAGGGCCTACTTTGGAGATTGCTTTAGAAACATTTAATAGTCCAGTTTACAGGTTTCAAAAAAACACCCAATCCCTAAGGTCTAGAGCTTTTATGACTAATGAAAAGGCCAATGTCTTTATATTGTTTTTCTCAATCCCACTTGATCAATTACTCAAGAAACTGAACACTCACATAACACTTATCACTTGTTCTGCATCCTGCCTTCTTTTCACACGCATACTCCTCAGATTTTAGTGGGAATTTACAGAAGAAATACGGAATAGGAAATATATACTAATGTCTAAAAAACTGCACCTAAGGAGGTCCTGTTTTTTTTCTGTAACTCTTCTCTATGACAAATACAGACCAATATTTCATATTAGCAATAAATGTTGCTAAAATGATACGCTGTCTTCTGAGATGAATTTTTTTTTTTGCCAGCAAGATTTTAGAGCATTAGAGGTTGATCAGACTTCTGTGGGGTTTCGGCAGCATAGGGTTAGTAATCAGACTGACACTTCCAACTAGCATATAACACAATGGTCTTCTACCATTACAGTCAGTTTCATGGGTAAAAAAAATGCTTCTGTGTGACCTTGTAGCTCATATTCTTCTCTCAGATAAGCTTATATTGGTCCCACTATATTTAGAAGAGCTTTGCCCATTTCTGAAGGCAGAATTTGATCCCATATGTATGAAGTCAATTCATGTGTTCCCTTGAGAAAAAAACTTATATTTTCCTCACCTTCTAAATTGCAGGTTCTTTTCCACATCACACTGGACACATTTCTCAAGGCACAGTCACAAAAATCAGTCACAAAACTCGACCCCATCAACTAATTTACATAAAGAAAAAGAGCAAGTGTAAAATCAGACATTCCCGACATCATACAAAAAGATCAAAGCCTTTATTTGGCAAAACACTGACATGTAGCTAGCAAACCAAACACAGCTCTGGTGTAATTCATCTACTTGCAACAGGGTTCATGCTGCTGACTCCAAAGGTGAAGTCAGTCAACAGTGATCATCATGTAGACTATGCTGTTGGACAGAGAAACTCTCATTTTCTGTAGCCACTCAGTTTTCAAATACCTTAAATTTTGTACAAAAGGGTTTTTTATGTTTAAACACAAGTAAAAAAGCTAAAAATTACTCTTTATCAGATATAAATTATCTTTAAGTGACATCATCCATATAAAAAACTATATATATAATTTACCTGTGTGTGCATGCTGTGTGTATACACACACAACTATAGACCCACACCAGTAACTAAATACTTATTTAATCCAGTCATTTTTATGAGGAAAAGCTAAGACACTAAAGCAGACAAATCAGTGGAATTTATCAACTGAGAGAACTATAAAAGTACCATTTACTCTATTTAAGAGCATTTTAATAGTTTCATCTATTGCTATAATATACAGCAATATTAATATTTCAGTCACAGCTTTTGTCCATTCCCACAGAGCACATCAGTACTAGCTACATGTAGAGTGAGATCAGTGCTTTGTCAGACCAGTTCATACCTACATTCTAGGCCATAACTAAATAAATTAGAATATGCTAAAGTGCTACATCAACACTAATGTTTCTGAACAGTAGTAACGCACATTTCTCTTTCAAAAAAACCTAAAAAAATACAGCAGCTATAGTTTCAAACATAATCACATAACGTGAGTCCGTTTACAGATCACTTAGTTACAGTATTCAACAAAATGCACAAAACAAAACCATATGGCAACAGTCAAGATTCCCACAGAGTACAAAAGGTAACTTTTTAAAAGTCGATCATGATGGAAATAGAATTTGCAGAAAACACACAGTCTTCAGAATTCACACTTGAAAGTTTCGTTTAATCGCAACTTGCTGATGTCGATATTTATTTCCTCTGGTTTGTCACGTCTGTATGTTACTGTTCTTGTGCAAACTGTAGGCAAAAACATCTTATCCTTGAAGGAGAAGATATAATTTTTATCAGCAATTAGCTAAATTTTATATGCAAGAAAAAGATTACTGAACATGATAGCTCTGAAATAAATTACCTTCTTTGTTGCAGATACTCTGTAATCAGATGAAGACTTAACTTTATTGCTACTCCCCTGCAGAATGATCTGCCTGATGATAAGGACAACAAGCAACCCGATCAGAAAGGTAACTATAAAGATTATGGAAAAGACTCTAAAGTAGCTTCGTCCAGAGAAACATTCTGCAACAAAAGGAAAACACAAGGGTAAAGCCTAATGTACGGAGCAGACACATCCCTCTAACACAGGTATATCTACCACTGCATAGCAACGCTGCATAAATGTAACACAAGCCTGATAAAAATTGAGGGAAAATCACTTAGGGGAAATTAAGAGGAAAAGTTGCCATATGTAGGCTTTTTAAAGTGGGGCATATCAAGAAAGGCAATTCAGATTAAGATCCATTGTAAAAAACTGGTGAAACTATTATTCCTTTAATCTACAGAATTAAGACTCAGGCTTCCTCCATAAATTCTCTGTAGATGAGTGAGTTTATAGCTGAAATAGAGAGGAGGAAATGTTAAAGATGTTTGGGGTGAAGAGAATTTAATCTTCAGAAAATGACAGTGAAGATCACTGGTGAAATATGAAAGATATTATTGAATCCTTGTCCAGTATTGTCCTCACAGGTAAACTTTTCTCACATGGTAATGGTAAGCTTTCCTTAATTAATACTGAAGTTATGAGAAGAATATTCACAGTTAGTTTTCTCATTTATGAACTGTAGGATATAAAGCTGTACATAAATGTGAAGTGACATTTACCTACATTTTTGTTGCTGTGTGGAGTGATTAAGCTTTACGAGATTTTATTTACAAAAAAAAAATTATTCTTCCACAGCCCTCATAACTGCAGTTTTTTATACTTGAAAGGAATATTCAAACATTACTGAACTTGAGGTAAGCATTCTACTTCTTTTTCCCTTGTTTCTGGTAATGTCAAATAATATAAGCATATCCAAAGTAATAAAACATACAGATGCCATAACAGATTTTTATAAATATTTCTTTAAGCATTGCTCAGGCAGGATTCATCTTTATTAGATGTGACTTCTCAAGGAGCTGGGAAATCTGATTTAGCAATGCTTGAAATCATATTTCCTGTTATTATTTATCTTTTACTTTCCCTGAAGCTATGAATGAGTTTTCTCTTTTTCCTGCCTTCTTTGTTATTGTAATAATATGACACACTTGAAAGACATTCTAACAGTGGTGAATTCAATTAGTAATCCCAATATAGTTTAATCTCTTATTAAAATTACCTAGAAAATGTCACATACCTGAAGTATGGTCAACATAGTGCAGTAGGTAAGCGCATGAGGTTGTGCACTGGTCAAGTATTGCTTGAGATGTATTGTTAGAATGATGGCAGTGAACACAGTTCCTGTAAAATAAAAATATAATTAAAAACTTATGTCTTTCTCTGCACTCTCTTTAAAGAGATTGTATCAACAGGCTGAAATATCATTGCTTGCACATAATGCTTTCCTCTTGTTAGTAAAAACATTGCGACATTTTTTTTTTTTTCTGAAATGTGACACCTCTCTCAGTGTTTTATCTCTCTGATGCTTCTCAGAACCAACTAGTCAGAAGCTGTAAAGTAACATGTCTTTGGCTTTGAGCCACCTTCATCTGGTCCCTGCTCTACCCTTTGTGATGCAAGTTTGTCACAGGGTGTAGCTAAGGGTCTACCACCCTTTCTTCAGCTTTCAGCTTCCAGTTCAGTCCTAGTCTTTCCTTATAAATCAGACTCATTGGGATGCACGCTGGAATTGAAGAGTAGAGACAGCTTTGTTCATAATTTTTGGATGCTATCTTAAGACAAAGCCAAGTAAGTTTGCAATGCTGGGCAGTTCAGAGAGACAGCAGCACAGTGGGAGGCAGTGCTTTCAGTCTTGCCATCTTCATTGTATAGCCTTGCAGAAGATGGATATCACATGAGACCCTGAAAAAGCCCTGGCTGAATTTTTAACAAAGGTATGCCATCTTCTGAATTTATTAAAGTCATCCATTTCACAGTGATTTTGAACAAGTGTAAGCCAGAAAGGCTAACTGCATTTTATTTAGTGAAATCTTAGCATTCACCGTTTCGGACGTGATCAAGCTTGGCTCTCCAGCATTTCCTTCAAACAGCTATAATTCAAATTAATACAAATAAACAATGATTCTGTTTTGAGCACAATGCCCTTTCCAATGAAAGGCTGATCTTTCACCTTCTGCACCACAGTGAGATGCAGAACATTATGTACTGACAAGTGGGTGTAGAAAAGCTGTGCCCAAGGCCTTCGTTCACTCTCTACGCCAGGACCATGCAGTGTGCCACTGAGAGCTTGATCTAGCTTCTCTCCTCCTGGGGTTGCTCATTTCAACCTCCACACTGTCCCCTCCTTTATACAGGTAAGGAAAAATGACATGCTTTAAGACTAGCATGGCAAAGACTAAGTGTTTTAAAACTCAGTAATGAAGAATGTTGTTCTCTGGGTAAGACGAGCTCTGCTCTGCTGACCAATGGCAATGACAATACACAGCTCCTTCAACTGAGAAGCACAAGGAGTGTGCAAAAACATATTTGGAAAATATTACTGGACTTTGTGGAATTCAGATGCAGGATCTAGTGTCCATTTCTAGAACTCCAAATTCATGGGTTTTATGTACTACCCAGAAGATTTCATATGAAGATCGATATTTTAATAAACCTATGAAAAAATATAGTTTTTTGGCTTCTGAAAGCTGGAAGTTGGACACAGACTGGTGAACACAGATGTGGACATGTAATTCCCTTAATTTCCAGTATGAATCCCTCAGCTACAGAGAGAAAAGTATAAATTGTTTCAATTTCCTACAGCCTAAATATCTAAGAAATGTCGCACCTAGCCAAGCAGAAATATTTCTCCACGTTTCACCATTAGAGAGTTAAAAAGTCAAGTCTAGCACAAGAAACATACCAGTTTTCTTCACAGGCTTTGTTACAAGTAGGGCAGTATTCACACAAACGGCCAAAGCTTCTTGGATCTGTGCACTCACACTTTCCACATACGCATTTTCCTCTTCCACTGCAAATCTGGCCCTTTGAATTCAGGCAGTGCTTTGCTGATTGTGATGAGCACTCACAACGATCACCTTCCCAGCCAGCAAAGCACTTGCATTTACCACCTTCACATTCACCATTACCTACAACATCAGAGAGTCTTGAGTCATATGCTTTTATGAAAACATAGAAAATCAATTTTTAGATGCATACATTTGTTTCACTGGTGCTTTACATTAAACAAAGCTAATTTAGACCTTGACTTTCTAGTTAGTTTTTAAGTTAATAACTTGGGCTGAAATTACCAGCATGATATATATTTATGGATGCTGGTTGTTGTTAAGTTAAGCAAAAGTTACTATCATGTCATCCAAAAACCTTTTACTAAAAATTTTCCCTCTTGTCTTGGATGAAAGGAGTGGGGATTAGAAATTACACAATGACTGGAACATAGTCTTCAGGCAAACTAAATAAACTTCTCTTTTATAAGAAAATATTCAATTCAAATAAACGGCAAGATTCAGTGGAGGAATGAGTATCAAGTTCATGCACACATGCCAAGTTGTTCCTTCTTTTCTTTCTCTCTCTTCTCTTCTCTTCTCTTCTCTTCTCTTCTCTTCTCTTCTCTTCTCTTCTCTTCT